ACAACCCGTTGTTGAAAATTTCCCGCCCATCGATCTTGATTTCGGTGTTCATTATTTACACCCAGGTCTGTCATATATCACACTCCATGAACCAAGCAAAAGGTGCGACCTTTGAGAGTCTGCAATATTACGGCTTGCGTTTTTTCAGTGTGGTTGTCAGTTGTATGAGCGGAATTAGAATTTCACTGTAAAATGCAACTATGGATATGATCAACCGAACAGCTCTACAGTTCCGGCTTGCAACGAAAGCCAAATTTTGTAATAAGTCATGCAGCTGTCAGTCTGATATAGACTGAAAAAGCCAAATGACCTAACGCCACCAACCTACGGAGATCTATTCTGCCGCCAGGTGTGGGGATCATCGGAAGTTAGTAAACATGAATCTTGGGAGGACATTGTGAGCTCGCAATATATCAGACGAGGCCTCTGTAATGATAGGGCAGATAAGTAACTTATTTCCTTGATGAGTATCAGTTACATAGTTGATCCATTTTAGGTAAACAGAATAGTAAGTAGGATTTTTAGCCCCAGAAGCGATTGGAGATAGAAGATTCTGTGAATTAATGCTACTGGATGGTTGAAAGTATGTAGACTATTCTTGGCAGTAGAATAACTAGCCGAGTGGCGGCAGGTATGCCGGTGACTACGCCTTACGACATGTAAAAAAACTAGTTTGTGAGATTGAGGAAATGTAAATATGGTCCTGATAAGACACTCCTCTAAACCAGTGTTGTCTTCACAACATTGGTTGTACAAACACCTGTCCTGCTGGTATCGGCGGACTCATCATCATTACCATCAGAGACAGTAATATCACTGTTGACGCTGATGCCTCACTGCCATACAACCACAAAGCCTATCTAATTGTTCAAAGCCTTAGAGAAAGAAGAGTGGGTAGTAGGGGACCTGGTGTTGTTCCATCGCAAGCATTCTGAGGTGTGTACGACTCCAAGTACTCAATCAGCCTGGAAAGAAACTGACAGCTCGAACGCCATTGGCATCGATCAGCTGCCATTTCTTGAAATTCCTCCAGACTCTAATCAAATCTGAAACCAACCGAGTAGCAGCGTGCTGCGTAAGAGGTTAGACATTCGTACTCCGCGCTGTCAGCAAACACTCCAATGTGTTAGCTACTGGGTTCGAAGAATTTTTCCACCCATCATCTGTATCTTATAAGCCACAATTGCTTCGCAAACACCGGTGATATTTTCATCCTCTTTCCATTTGAAGTATGGGCATATGACCAAAACTACTGCAACAAAAGTCCCTTCGTGATAGTCTATGAGATGAGAAGCTGCGCAATCTTACCATAAAAGGTACACTCGCTCACTAGGTCCTTAGCATTCTTGTGCTAAAAATACCTTAAACTGACTGGAAGCTGGATGAAGATTTATTGGCTTTTTCGACCCTGTGGATGTATTGTTCATCCATCGCGAAGGAGTTATATGATCAAGTAGTAAACCTCCAACGATAACACACGTTCGATGCTATGCTTTCACGCCATCCGAAAGAAAAACGAAGGCTGGGGTACTACAGGTTGCCCAAGTATAGACAGGAGCAGTCGAGATGCAGAAGTTTGGTCCGAGCCACAGACCTTCGGGCCAGCAAGTTCGCACCTAAATTATTGGACTGCCTAGAGCTCAAAGAACCTCGAGAAGACTGGACTTCATTGTATTGCAGTATCCACAGGGTCGCTCATACCAGGTTGGCCCGTGGATAGAGGTCTAACAGTCCCCTGAGCCCTCATGTGGAGATCAGAACAACTGTGACGATCTATCCCTTAAAAGTTGGACGACTCCCATTCTTCCGCAAATCCCAACTCTAGGTACGCTTGTTGGACACCTAGAGAAGTAAATCCACACCACCGCCTGAAAAAAATCGTTCAGCTGTAACACTCTTCTAGTGCCTAGCTGCCATGCCACCTAAAGAAAGAACAAGGACTGAGTTACTGTCAGGATGCTTCATCCTAGAAGTTGAGATGCAGAGGCTGGGTTCTAACCACGGACCTTCTCTTCAGTAAATTTGCGCTCCAACCATTGAGCCATCTCGCCCTCCATCTAACGCTTCGCTCTCATAGGTCAGATACCATCCTCCATTTTGATGTTCGAACCCTTAAGGGTCAACAGGCTGCTGTGGTGTGCACTCTTGACACATTGTCGATAGACACTTGCTGAATTTCTGAAACCAGAATATAAGATCCCAGTACGTTCAAAAAAATTATTGAGCTCATGGTATCCCTTGTTTAGAGTGGGAACTTTGGGTGATCTAACTGTTGCAGTGGTAGTGTAACCCTCAGTCCGCGAGATGAGGAGTCACTACTCGCCTGGATATCTGTAAACAGTCAAGTCTGTGCTGAGCTTCTGAAATACATTAACCCACAAAAATGCCGTAACTCAATAGTCGCGCACACCAGACGAGCACCAGATTTGCATGCGAAGGGCTACAAACATAACATTCTAACTAGCTGTGTCAGTCGCGATTACATAGGCAAAACAAGACAGGATTCCCAAGAGTTCAATGATGATAATGAAAATCTGAGTGTAGCAGATGGTCAAAGGCAAGCAGTGTACGTAGCTGCCCCGGCCTGAACAAGTTAGTACACTATATCTGTGACTGTGTTAAGATTGAAATCCTTTAGCTACCACAATCTGTGCCGTGTCACGTGATCTTTTACACAAGTGAGTCCTTCTTGTCACTCACGAGTGTTGTGGGCAACTGGTCCTAACATATATTAAGCGCTCCAGGTGTTTAGTTTTCCCAGCATTATTTGAGTATCACAGTCTACAGGTTGTCTCCCGTTGTATGATCCTAGGTCAGGGACAACAATCAAGAGTGCCAGTAAGGCAGGACAAAATTAATCGGTATATTGTACACGACCCAAAAAGACAGCTGCTAATGACCACACAGGCAGAATGGAGAGTACATGGAAGTAAAGTATAACGCCATGTGCAAATATGTGTAACAGCACAGCCGAAAGTGATAGTTTAAAAGTAGAAACTACCGATATTGGAAAGTAAACAATGTGTGACTGCACTGGTAACCTCAGAAAAGCCATCTATATTCCGCCTCTGGTGTTGTAGCCTCGAGTTTAAACAGGCTAACGTGCAATCCAGCTTTCCACAAACTTCCTCCAGAAAATGACATGTACTGGTAACTGTACTGCCTCATATTTTATTGAATCGATGCAGCAGGTGTGGATACTTAGCTTTTGATTATTTCCTTATCCTTCTAGACATTTTTATGGTTATAGGGCAGCTAAGCAGCAATATTTTCACCGATGTATTAATGCCGATGAGGATTATGGTAGTGTCCCTGAACATGCATGTCTAAATGAGTTGTGGCCTCATTTCTAGCACAATTTTCTCCAGCTGAGCTAGGAATCAACGGCATAAGTTCGGGAGTAGATTCATCGAACATCAGGCAAGCATACTAAATCAACCAAATTAACATACTCACAGAAGACAACCTATTCGATTACGTGCTTACGATGGTAGATGAGTATGATGATTATGTTCTGGTAACGCAGTTCAAGAAGCCAAGCCCAAATCTTCGAAGTTTTGGGGTATCGGTACATTTGAAGTACAAGCATTTGACCACGAGTGGACTCCGCACTTGAGTCGATGATAGTTCAAATACGCCACAAAAACATGCTAAAGATGATCACTTCGGATCTCATTCAAGATACCAAGTAGGAATTTGACGAGACTACTAACCGATTTCATCTGTTAGGCAAGGATACCCTCTGTCGCTTTTTTTTAACTTGGTAATCGATATGCTGCTTGAGTTTCTTTTACCTGCCACTAAGATCTCTTCGATGGGAGCGTCTACTCATAGATGCCGACGATATTGCTCTTCATGGACCAAGCATTTTTGAAATTCAAACTATTTTAGGCAATCCAACTGATCCTGCTACACAGCTCGGTGTGTTACGTAAAGTGTTGCCGCAAGACTGGATGGGATCAAACCCAAATCCCACGCTTTCAGTTGAACTGCTCGATAAGTTCGCCTGTCACGGAAGCTGTTCGCCGGCGAACTGGCAGAAGACGAAACAGCTCCTTGAATTGGGAAGGCCAGGGTACTGCTTAGCGAATTCCGACATCCGTGGCGCCAGTTCGGATGTCAAGAGCAGAATGCACAATACGGTGATCCAACCTATCCTAATTTAGGGATAAGAGACATTGTTGCTGCTGTATGACTATCGACGCATTTAAAACATCGAGCGTGTTTGGTGAGACCGCTATACTAATACTACTGACGTACACCTGGCAGCTTTCAAGTTCACATGAACAGCCTCGGCAGATAAGCTTGTCGCACTCCACAGGTTACGCCTCCAATGAAAATAGAGAGTGGGCTCTGACGAAAGGAAACGAAACGGTGCTGATGTGCAGTTGATCGCTGATCTGGATGTCCGATCAAAGTAGCTAATCTGAGACTTGCAGGAGAATGAGAGTTGTCTGATACTCGTTCCAACCCCAAAGGTGTCTTCGTGAGTAGATGGTAACCTTCAGAGGAAGTTATCCCAGTGTATAAATAGAAAAGTCCGCTTTCATCACGCAGCGATCGGACGGCCGGCGAATTTCGAGTTGACCAATTCATCCGAAAGGTAAATTACATTCTACCGTTACACTTAACCACTCTACTTAAAAAGTTACGGATACAGTTGCGCATATGTCGCCGTGCACTACAATTCGGTAGTAAGCTGATGTTGATGGATGTAAACATAGTCTACAGAACAAGCAGCAAGTCCGGTTCCGGACGGTGATTTCGCTACAGTAGCATCCACTGGCCACATACGCGTGCCCTGAATAACAGTTTGTTCGGGTTCTTTGCAAAATGTAAGCCTGATTCCCATTGCAAGCAGAAAACTAAGTCCCCGTGGAAATCATTGAATTGGCCATCCGTTGCCTGAAGCAGACGTTCGGGGGATAAAAGGTATCAAAGACTAGGGCAACTCCTGTATTTCAGATAGAACTCCTACAAGACTTCCAACAACTACGGTATCACTTGAGAACCTTAAAAATCTGCGATGCAACAATGGCGTCCGAACACTCAAGGAGGTCGATGAATTCTTCTTCACAAGATTCCTTAGTTTTGGGCTGGCGTTCTCCACATGCTTGTAACTTCTCAACGAATGGTCGGCATTTCGATGAATTTTGTGCTTTCTCTCGGAGAAGGTTCTAAAAATACGTAGGAAAACACGAACGAGGGACTCACGATTGGGTCAACAAGGTCGCCGTTGGACATTACGCCGCAAAGGTGGACACGGATGAGGCACGGTGAATGGAGCAGCACCCACCCCTCTGATTGGCCGTTCATGACCTTGAAGCAGGGTGGGGCAGGCAAATGGAGCACCGCAGGTAAACGCGGCAGGCGGGGCATCCAGACGTTGCGTCGGGCTGTTCGTACATGTGGGCGGCAAAGATCATCGTTCCATGACAAAAGCTGAACTTTCAATTACCAGTATGGGTTTTAGGGAAGGTGTCCTCCATACTAGAACACAATAGGTGAGGTACTTTACCCGAAATATCTGACAGCTCATTAAGGCTGTTATTGTAGTGGGGCGACGCTCCTGATTTCCCAGACAATACTCGACATTCAAGTGAAGATATTATGGGATGGCGGTATCTGGTTAGTGCAAATATTTGCTACCGTGTGTGAACGTGAGGAAAGTTCAGTAGCAAAATTGTACGAAAGTAACAACCACTTGTGCGATGGTTCGGGGAAATGGATTGGAATTGCAGAGTTATAAGTAAGCGGTTCCAAAAATCGCGATTAAATCCCACATGAAGGCGCTGGTGGTTGGCTTGCAGGCATTTGAGGAAGTAGGATTATCATGTATTATAGCGCGGTAGGTCGGAAAGAGTGTTGGATAATCACTGCAGGTTTGTGGAATAGTTCATTCAAGGGAACTTGAGGGAGCTTCGTGGGAAACAGTTTGCAATTTAGAGGTTATAGTGAACGGCAGCATAGTGACTGGGGAGACGGATGTTTTTGTGATAGTACAAGACGCTCCGAAAGTGGTGCTAACTAATATGGGAAGTTGGGCAGATTCTCTCCATGGGTGATTTGTTTAGGTAAATGAATTTTCGAGGCGATCAATCGCCATCGATTGGGGAAACGGTGCCTAGCGTAACAAGATATCGTGAATAGCAATGAAATGTGATTCGCTTGCAACGGACGAAACTTGTGGATAGTTCTGCAACTAAAATAATTCAGTGAGCTTTCTAGAATCTGCATTGTGCTCATGGAAGCAAAATATCCGGAAACGTCACCCATTAATTAATTTTTGTTACGTATGTCCTGCTTCACTGGACCAACACCGAATTACGTGTTGTGTGACCTCTATATTTACTATGCCACATTAGCATCATGGTAAACATTGATTTTTCGGATAGCTCATGCGAGGCTTGAAGAACGAAATGCATGTAAATGTTGATTACCAACTCCCCTAGGTCAAGTCTTCTGGATACCACCATTATATCACCTTGGAATTTTCATGCCAGCGTTATTATCAGCAGAGTTCTGCATTGCAAATGGCAAAATGTAGAGAACATCTGAGTGAACCCAGCTGACACACATGACTGACATGTGGCTAGGGTTTTACAGTGCCCAAGCAACTGGCTGGAATGCATCCACCCATCTCTTTTGGGCAAAATCGAATGTCCATATGGTAAGAGGTAATAAGTTGAATTTTCCTGGTCACTTCGACTAGTACGTATGTCTCCTGGGGGAGCGTATGACTGTTTCAGTGCACAGTGTTCATGTGCCATTGACGTCCTGGTGTGAGAGGAAAAGATAATTTGGGTTATTGACTTATAACTGAGGCATGCGAGTGACAAACTGAGAGCGATACTTACCCTATAAATGGGGCACTTCAACGGTGAAAATCTCGTAGATATTTGTTTCAACAACGCCATCCTCAATAGCTGATTGACCTCGCGCTGGTCACTGTAACTTGAAGATTACTGACTATAAAGTCGCAAGAAATATGATACTGAGATGGAATACATGATGTTTCATTAACAGACCAACAGTCTGGAGCTAATGTGTTTTGCATGAGTCGCCTCGTTCCTCTAGCTGACGCTCCATAGCGTTATTCGTAGTAGTAAGCCATTAACTCACAGCTGTCACTCAGCTCCGAATATTCAAATGAACACCTCCGTACACATTGGGCTAAGAACATGCTTCCGCCGATGTCAACTTCATGAGATGGCCTCCCTGTGGAGTTTAGCAAGAAAACTCTTACGTTTTCTAGACAGGCCAGGAGTTGGGCACGAAAAATAAACAAATCCTCTTTGGACTGAACTTTGAGACAGGCCTGAAGAGTATCACCGCACAACGGACAAGTCCCACCGTCAAAACAGTAGACGGGAAACGATGCGCAATCCGTTACACACCAGCGGTCACTGGTACTAGCCGGTCGATCACATAGCACACGAAAACTCAAGTCTGTGTTCCTGACAGCCGCCCGAGACTAGGTGCAGGTCGTCAGTTGCAGACTTCGAGCGTTGGCGAAGCGAGAGTTGTCCCTTAACAATCAATTACCTAGAAGTAGCTGTTACTATCCTGGGTTTTGGCCCCTGAAGTTTGTCTACCATCCGGTTCAGTTGTTTACTCAGCCACCGGTAATGGCTTGGAAAAATGCGCGAGTTGTATAGCTTGCTCCGGTAGGTCGTAATCGGGCGGTCACTGTTGGCGGATGGGAAAGCAACCTAAGGAAACATCTATGAAGAATGTTACAGCTATAAATAATATTTATTACAGCTTGTAACTGACTGCCTTCTAAATAATGGAAACAAATGAATGCAGATGCGATATCTCACTTGGTAGAAAAGGCATGTGAATTTTCCAGCAAAGGTGTCAACCGCCTGGGAAACCTGGGCGTTTTCACCACGAACCATAAGTTAGTTAACGCAGATCGACTTCATTTTGCTTGTTCCAAAGCTATGATAGTGCGGCTTGGAGGCTTCGTTCCCTACTGCCTCAAAACCTGGAAACACACACGTAGTCATTCGACAGATAAGGTTCATTTCATAGACCTAGGCATCCAGGATTCTTCCTCGGTCGCAGTGGTTATACGTGTACACCTCACAATATCACATGGGCCAGTCGGTGCTCCGGGACACATTCTGGATGACATGCTTCCGTGTGTGGGTGAAGCACCCGGGCTAACCTTTGCTCTTTCTGAACGGTTTTTCATCACGTTACAGAAATGAACCATTCCGAAGTATGCTTGTACAACCCACGTGCGCGTGATGCACAACCAGAGAAATTCTGGTTCCATGCGGCGCAGCATTCGCAGATCTTGTCAGAGTGCGTGCTAATAGTGTGCTAAACGGATTGCCCGTTGTACCGCGTTTTACAGACTAGCCAAAGGGTGTAATACGTACCAGCTGTGTGCACTGTTTGTGAGCAAAAATGTATGGATGGTATATGATATACATGTGCTTTCTCATGGCTTTTTTAATATGGAAGTAACACATGATATCTTAGCCAGGCACTAGTTTCTCTGCTCACATCTGTGCCTCCAGTTGTTTCATCACAAAAGTCCTCACCGGATACTGTTCACCCACTGTTTGCCTGAACAGGCGAACAGTTTACGCACGGGCATTAACTCTGCTTTTCACGAAGGCATACATAGCCGGACACCCGGTATCTATTCCATCAGTGATTAGGTGGGCGTGGAACTTGTGCCTGCAGGCCGGATATTAGGTGCACTTGCCCAAAACTGCTTTTCACGTGTGTCCCATTAACACATACAACATCTAGGACGCACCGGAATAGCGCCATGTGTTATCGTCTGAAAAAGCAGACGTGGCTAGGGTTACCTTCCAATGGATACAGCAAAACCCCTCTTCTGACCTTTCGAATTTTTGCCAGGACGGAAGGCGTAACATCCGCCAGAGTGGAACTCAACTATGCTCAGCAGAAATGACTGACAATTCCGGTGACAGTTCTGTATCCTGAGTGGTAACGAAATTCTAAGACCGCAGACTGCTGCATTTTGTGCAACGGTGATCCATACTCCAGCAACGCCCTGCAGGCGTCCGACTTCCCTTCATTAGCCGTTGGTTAACCGGAAGTTGATCGTACAAAAACGGGAAGAACTTAACGTTTTGTTCCAGCTGCTGGTTGTCGATTGCTTGTTCGAGATGACTGAGCTGTTTTTACCTGCTTACACGGAGGGGCGGAACAATCGCCGCCCTTGTCGTAATTGTGGTTTTACTGCATCAAAGCCAACCAAAGCCATCAAAGTCAACCAAACAAACGCACGCACCTACTCACTGCTCCCAGGAGTGAAGATGTACAATGGGGAATATATGTATACAGAGGTTCCTAATCCTCCGCTTCCAGCATTCAAGATTGGTGCCCAAAGGATTTTTATTCGTCATGCACCACTTGCTAACTTGAAGCTTATGAAAGTGTTTCGTGGACTGGTGACTATTTCTCCTTGTACTGTCTGGCCCAAGTGAAAAATATCGGCTCAACCAATCATCTCGAGAGTTCACTCCCGTCGGAAGTTACACATCTGATTTCCCTAACCACACCGCTATTCCCCGTGCTCATATCGGCTTTTACTGGATTCCTTGTACTCTAATATCGGATGTGAGCGAATCCAAACCTTGGTCAGTAGTCTGGCAAGTAGAAAACCATCTATATCCTACTCCATATAATCACTTGTTGTTATCACCCTAATCGCGGTAGACGTCAATTCTTTCGTTCCATGTACATGAATCCACATTATCCCATTTGATATCCTCTCAAACTCACCATGCCTTACTAAACTTATCCCACCCCCTCATCTACCCAAGCTTTGAACTTCGGAACTACCACCCAGTCTGGATGATCTGGTTAGTTGCTTTCCGCTTCACCTGGCCTATGATCTACAACCACAGGATCCCTAACCGGACCAAAATCATGCTACCCCATATCAACTCCGTTCCACCTTGTTTTCTCGGCCAGCCTGAAACGTATCCCGCTGCTCAAAGAACCGCACATTCCAGCCCAATCGCCTTAACTCTGACATTCGTTACGGGGCTGTCCGAAAACCGAAGCATGTCAGACCAGTGATGGCATGGCACCGCCGTACCCAGTTTGAAAACACCCGCAGGTATTCCATTCCTCCCCTCGACCACCCTCTCTCGCCCACTTGTTCCATTAACTACAAATACGACAAACACTGCACCTGACCCCGGCTGCCTCCATGTCATATTCATTTCAGCTTTCTGAAGTTCCCTCACGAATTTAACTTTACTGTGTCTTTGCTTCTCACAAAATTCAGTAACTTTTTATGCAGTTCGTGTTCCGGCTGGCGTGTCGCCATCACCTTACCTTTCCAAATTCCTGTTTTGCCTGACTCTACTACAGCGACACCGGTT